CATCAGCAGCTCCCGGCATCAGCATCTCCCGGAGCGCGGCCCGGGCGCTGCCGTCCCCATGACCTCGGCGCCCTTGGCGGCCTTTCCCCGGGGACCCTGGGTGTCCTTACTGCTGTTTTCTTCCCAACCCAGGAAGACCCGGCCCTGGTTCGCTGGGCCTACGCCAGGACGCACAATGTGTACCCGACTTTCCGCCCGACCCCCAAGACGTCCTTCCTAGGAGCTGTTTTTGCGATAGGCCCCATCTTCTTCTGGGCTGCGCTCTTCAAATATGACAGGGTGAGTCGGTGGGCACCACGTTGTAAACCCTAGGTCTGCCTGGAGATCTGTTTGGTGAGACCCTCCTGCACCTGGGAATGAGCAATACCATTAAAGTCAGGAAGGAGGAAAGGCTGATACCGAGCTACTATCTCAAAGCCTCATAACTGAGTGCTAAGTCCTGTTGTGCCAGGAGCCCTGCATTGCACCCTTGGGTATGGCCAGCCGTGGATTCCATGGCCGAGATATCTTGCTATCGTGAAGCTCTCTGCAGCACCAACAGTGTGAATTAATTATAAGATACTTTGACGTGCAGTAGTGGTGCTTTCTTAAATAAATAAATAAATAGGGACCTTATGGATGACAGACCTGAATTGCTTGACCTTTTCTCTGATCTCACAAACCAAATGGGGAGGAGGACTTCTACTGATTAAAACGCCTGATCTCAGCTGGATTTTTAAGATTTTGAAAGGTTTGTCCTGCTTGTGTTGTAACTCCTGAAAGGTGTCAGAATCTGAGCAATGGTAGTTCACTCTAGAAATACACAGCTATACCCATACTTAAGAAAATGATAGGTGACTGGCAGACAGTGGCTCTTTTTACTAATCAATTTGTGGCTATTTTAAAACACTTTTATTTCCCTCTTGCACAAAAATGGCATTTTTAGATCAAGTCATAAACTGGGAAGCACAAACATTAATTACTATTTGTAGGGAATTCTGTTTGCTAGGATGAATTAAAAAAAAATTAGAAAATGTGCTGAGTATGTTAATATAAGTGTCTCTGAGAATTCAGCATCTCTGCAGTGTTTTGTCATGCTGGTTTGGTACATGAAACCACACTTGGGCTTAGCCACCAACTGTGGCTTAGCCATGTGAGTGCTTGAAAATAAATCACTGTAAGGGAAATCTGGGCATACTTGCCTGAGAGTGTTTAAGCTGAAGCCTTCAATGTAGTGTCCAGGAAAACTTGTTTTCATTGTTTCCATTATTTTCCATCCTTACTGATGTTTGGGGATTTTGCTTTTGTTTTCTGGTAGTATATAAAGCACAATAACTATTATCCTCTTTGCTCTGAGAACTGTTGCTAGGTCTTGAGCAAGGCTTCTGGTTTTATCCAGCAGAAGTGTGGGGACAAGACGGAATGGGCAGTATCTGCAAATACTGCAACATTATCTGTCAGTAAGGTACACGGCTGCACGGTGAGATGCAAATGGGCTGAAAGTGAACACAGGCACCTTTAGGCAAGTTATTAGGAAGTTTCTTCGTAATTAGATCTCTAAACTGGATTATTCAGCCAGAAGGAGGAGGCAGAAATTAAATGTGTAAATTAACTGATGCACTAGTTTGATGAAAAATGCATCACAGGAGCTGTGCTGGCTCTACACAGGTCTCTGCTGGCCTGTGAGAGTGGGTAAGATGCACAGAGAGGTCGGTCTGAGCATGTCTTAGATGTGTTACTCTTTTTTAAACACAACAGCTGTTACCAGATTTTGTGCTGATAGAGTCATAGGTTTATGCTTACAGAATTTTGGTTGGAAAAGACCCTTAAGATGGAGTGTGGTGTTACCTTCCTACAGCACATGCTGAAACACTAGAACGGCTTTTCGCTTAACCCGGGCTGATTGAACCTTCTTCTCAGACAGGATAATGATGAATGTTCTCTTCCTTCCACAGGATCGTAAAGAGAAGCTTATTCAAGAAGGTAAATATGAGAGACCATTCAGTGTATTTTAAGTTCCTGGAACTGCAGTGCTGTTCGTGGGAGATATAAATAAATGAAGATGTATTGTGTGCTGGCATTTCTCCTTCATGAGAATAAATCTTAATTGCTCTCTGGTTGTCTTGCATCTTTAAAAATTATGGGAAGTGCAAAAATGCAGGAATTTGATATCTAACACAGCTGGATACATAGAGGGAATCGTGAACTCAACCAGTACGTTCCGTTGTTCTGCATACAGAGGATCCTTTTAAATTGTGGAAATTGCTGCTGTCAGAGCAGCATCGTGGGCTGATGTTTAAAATTAGTAGCAGACTCAAATGTTAAGCAAGCCCAAAGCAGTTACCTGAAGAGCTACTGCTGGCCTGCTAGGTGTATCTTCCTGGTGTTGATATGTAGTTTGTCCTCATCAAGTAATAGGCAAGTTCTGTGATACATTTTTAATAACGTTAGGAGCCTGCCTCACTGCTCTCAATAAGTTAATTTTTGTTTTCCCTAATAAAATACAAACCTAAACCATGTATTTGTGTATTGCAATAAATTTCTCTGAAATTACTGCACCAGATTTGGAAGTGAGCTTGCACATTGATGTGCTATATGTGACTAGCATTTCTGCTAGCGCTGTGATTCCTGTGAGTGGGAGACAAGAAGTACAAAGATAATTTTTATTTTTGACACTGGTTCCCTGACAGTATTCCATTTCACCACTGCAAATGGGCCCTGATTTAAAAAAAAAAAAAAAGCAGCCAAATCAAAACCAGGCCTAACTGAACCTTGTGCCTGCAAAGATGTCTTCTCTGGTTATACTTACATGATCACTGGTGTTTTCTGCTCAGGTTAGCTGGTGTAGGGGGTTCTGGCATTGTTAAAGTGTGAGGAAAAGATTTTAATTCAGGCCTGAATTTTCACATGGCTTCTAGGTGCCATTGTCATCCAAACATTCTTAAGATGTTTTATTGGAGTGGTTTCATCTTGCATGTTGAGGTCAATGCCAAAAACTCAGTCTGATGCAGAAGTTGAAAACTTCCCTCAGCCTGCAGGGAAAACAGCCTCTGTTCATGACAGTGAGGTGAGCAAGAACAGTTCTTCCAAGTCCCTTTTCTGCACGATTAGCATGTAAATATGGGCCATTTGCAGTCCCTCTCCATCAGAGCGAGCTAGTGAGCTTTTTCTCAGAACCACTGGATGGCTGAGGTTGGAAGGCGCCTCCAGGGGTCGTCTGGTCCAGCCCTCTGCTCGAGCAGGCTCACCCAGAGCCAATTACCTGAGACCATGTCCAGATGGTTTTTAGGATGGAGACTTCACAACCTCTCAGGACATCTTGTCCCAGTGCTCTGTCACTGTAAAAATGTGTCTCCTCATTATAATTATCTATCTATATTTAATAAGTGATTCCTGTTGTAGCTCTTCCTTTTCTTGTCTGGGTCATGCAGTGCTCAGGCAGTGAGGAGCTTGGCTTTAGCACTGTGTGCAGCAGCTGGGCAAGGCCATGGCCAGCTTTTGCAATCCTGTATGTGCTCCCAGCAATGCTCTTCCACCCACCTCTGCAGCTTGCTCCTCTGCTAACTTAACCAAAGCAAACCCGAGCTGTTCTCTCTGCAGAACAGCTTCTAAAAGACTGTCACAAATGACATTACAAGACAGGGTTGTGGGTCAGCACTGAGAGAGAGGCATCAATGAAAGTGGTATTTAGGGAAGGAAATAATTGCTTGTCTGAACATGCTAAAATAACTGTCTTCCTGCTGCCACAAACTAATTTGATCTCCCAGGACCCATTTCCTCAGCTAATTGGAACTTGAGTTGCCACATATATAAATTCTCCCTTGCAGCTGTATTTGTTTCAGGCCCGTTGAGCAAATGGTTCAGCCTGGGCTGTAGGTGAGCCCAGTGCTCCTAGTCTTGCCACAGCCCTTTCCTTTGTGGATGAGAGTGATGCTACATCCCTGCAGATTTCACTGCCCCACTTTTCTCTCTTGTTATTCGCAGAACTCTCTAAGCTGTTAGGAAGGAAGGAAGGAAGGAAGGAAGGAAGGAAGGAAGGAAGGAAGGAAGGAAGGAAGGAAGGAAGGAAGGAAGGAAGGAAGGAAGGAAGGAAGGAAGGAAGGAAGGAAGGAAGGAAGGGCGCTGGGTGCATAGAGGCAGGAAAGGGGAGTTTTCCTTCAGAAATGTAGGGTGAAGGCAGGAGAGTGAATGTGCCTCGTGGAATTTTACCTTTGGCTGAAGTGTTACCACCCATGTCTGCTTCAGTGATGAGGCTATAGCAAGAGAAACTAAAGCCTGCAGGTCACTGGATGATAATTTAAGTCCCAAACAGAAAACAAGCTTTTCTGCTCTGCCTGTGAAACATTTAGACCTTACCTATCCCTGGATCAGTCTGATTAAATCAGCTTCTGGCAAATTGATTTTCCTGAATGTCCTTTTCTGAGCTGGCTATTTTAAACGTCTCCCTGTATATTTTATAATGTAATACTTTGCTGATTTTCTTTTTTTTTTTTCTTTCTTTTTTTTCCTCCCTCCCAAGGATCTGGTGCAGATCCAAAAGCAATGCTGGATGTAACTGCCTGAAGTTAGGTGTTGCAGCTCTGTATTTCCTTCTCTTTTGGAAAAAGGACTGTTTGTCTTGAGAAGTAAGAAGCATGGATCATGATGGCACTAGGCTTAGTAACTGTTTCATGTGGGTACATGCTAAAGTGCAGGCCTGAGGTTTGGGGTGCCTGGGCTGTGTTCTCGGTTCCCAGCCTACCCGCGGCTTCATTTTGTGCCTCCAGTCTGTGGAGCTTACCACCTGGGGGTGAGGCTTGTGTATTCCAATGAATTATGAGGTCCTCCACGATGCTGTCTGCACTTTCTTATAGGCACCTTCCCAGGAACAAATGCCTATACTGGCCAGAGAAGCCCTTTCACGTTTTCTATGCTGCAAACTAGCACTTAACTTAGTGAGAGGATTTGTCAACTGCTGACAAACAAGTCGATATTGAAGCATGGCCAGAGCGTGAGGTTGGAAAGGAAATTTTCCCTGATTTAGCAGTGAAGTGCTTTGGATTCTTCAACCTTTTCTAATCTGTGGTCTGCTTTTCTGACAATCAGGTCTTTCCTTGGCAACCCTCCACAGATCAGCATGTTGAAGTGGCTAAGGCCTAAGGCTAAGGTCTCACAGTTTTCTGTTCAGAAAGTTCTTCCCCTACAGGCAGCTTAAAGTGCTTTGTTGAACCCTAGCTTCTCTCTGTGAAAGACATACCAGGTTGTATTTTCAGGAGGTACCTGGTGTCCCCACAAGATACAGCATTCACTCCAACTACACCTGGTGAGAGCTGCGCAAGTACTTCAGCTTCAGTGTGTCACCAGAAAAGCTTTAATTGGATAGGTGAAAGCTCATAACAGTGGTGGGTTTTTTACTGCATTTCCCAAGTTACATAGAGATGGTAATTTGTGTGGCTTGGTGGCTGCTTGAAATGCCATTCTGTGCTGGAGCACTCTGCATTGCCTGAGTCATCTGTGCCACCATGCGTAGGTATGCTGGATCTCCTTGCCTTCACTCACACATTGCAAGCAAGAAATAACTTTTCTTTACTTGCACTTGGGATTGAAATGGCTTTTCAGAGTTTCCCAGCACTTGTAGTAGTTTTTATCTAGGCAGTTGGAGGTCTGGAGGCCCCATTTGGTGACGGCGAGGCTGAGGGACGATTCAAACATGAAGGCCTGTCGGAAAGAGGAAAGGTAGGTTAGAGCAGGAGGGAGAGAGTTTAAATCCAGGGAAGGTGGCTCTGCTCTACCACAAACAGGAACTGTACACATCCAGCACTGCCAAGTTCTGCCTCCAGACTGTCCAACTCAGATGGAGAAATTTCTTCCCAGCTGGCATTGCAGTGCTGGTATTAACCGGGTCTCTGGAGGGACTTTGGACTCCCTGCATGCCCAGGAAGGCCAGCTTGTTCCAAAAGCTCTAGTTCAAGGTCTGTCGATGATCATCATTAAATTTTAGGGGGTGGAGAAAGGAGAACAGTCAGGGATTGCATTTCTTTATCCATGGGCTAAGACAAAAATTAAATTAATCAGCATGAAAATTCCCAGCTTCCTGCTCAGGCAACAATTTATGTGGGCAGATGATCAAAGCTGCCTGGCATTGCTGGTCTCCAGGGGAGCTCCTGGAAGTGATCAGTAAGGGGGGGTGAATGTTGCAGCAGTTTGGTCCAAGTACTTTTCCAGCTTGCCAGCAAGAAGCGAGGCTAGACTATGGGAGAGGCAGAGGGCCACTGTGTGTGCTGTATTCGAAGTCTTACTAGCTCCCTTGGCTCCTTACCATGGTCCCTTCTGCGACCCGCTCAGGCTCCAGCTTGGCTTTGCTCGCCTTCTCAAAGCAGTCAGCATCTGGCCCGTGAGGAGTCATCATGCTGTGCAAGCTGCCACCTCCAGGCTGGAAGCCTTCCTCCTTTGCTTCGTAGTAGCCTTTGATGAGCCCCATGAACTCGCTCATGCAGTTCCCTGCAGGAGGCACAGAGGGTGAAACGCAGTGTGATTAGGAGGCATCACAGGTGGGCTGTGAGCTCCTTGAAACCCATGAACTAAGCTGGGCCAAGCAGTGGGTGGAGTGCAGAGATTCCTACACAGGGGTTTGCATGAGAGGGCACTGGGGATCCTACAGGCGATGCTTGTAAAGCTGCACAGGTTTTATTCCACTCTTAATTACTTGGAGAAACTGAGAGCTCCCTAATGCAAGTGCATAGGTGTTGGTAGATCTGTGCTTTTCCTACCACCTCGAGCTGTGTGAGTACCACCTCTGCAAAAGGACTGCACCTGGTGTTTACAGACTTGGATTAGAGATCTTAAAGCACTGGAAAGAAAGTTCAGTATAATCCTCTCTGTGTTACAGGTACAAAATGCCTGGCTGGCAGTCTGGTGAGGGAGCCTGGTCAATCGCCCAGGTTATAAGCTTGAAAAAATTTTAATTCTTCTAGCACCTTCAATCCAGCCAGCTGCTTCAGTATCATATGCTTTTGATTCATCCATTTTCTACCTGTTTCTCAAGAGCCACTATATGCCCACGGGCAAGGAGCCAGATTCTTGTCCTTTCTGAGGAAGAATACTTTAAGTAGACCCTCTGAAACCAATGGAGTAATATACCACTAACTTAGGTAAGGATAGCTATATCAAATCATTCAGGACTTATGCTCCCTATCAGGAAGTCCTTCAACAGTTGCCATCCCAAGCTTTCAGCTTTACTAGACCAGATGTGACTGAACAAGATGGCAACTTTTAGCTTAGCAGTCAGTTTTTACAAAACCAGGACACGCTTCTGTAGCCATGTTATATATAAGCCTTTTTAACTACTAGCTTGGTCTTCCTTAAGTACAATCCAAGGTCTAAAATACTTAACAACAAAATCAATTTAACTCAAAGCAGAGTTGGCCTATATATGTATGCAAATGCTCATTAATTTTCATTCCAAGTTGTCAGTAGCTCATGTAAGACTGGATTGTTACAGGCTTTTCACTGAAAGCTCATGTATAGTGCTCAGTGCACCCAGACCTAAGAGCTGGGCTGCCAATCCCTCTGCAACAGGACTCATTACACTGCTTAGAAAGAATGGGCAGGTGAGTAGGAAACCAGGTTGGGACTTACAGGATGAGCTGAGTCCAGTTTCTTATTCATTTGCAGATTTCCTGTGTGACCTCCAACAACTTAGGTGTGCCTCCATTTCCTATCACTAAAATAGTATTGTCTTCTACAAGCAGGATGTTGTGAAGTTAAAAACAAGAGTGGCCATTAGATATGAAGTCCCACCATGATAAAAATCACAGAGAGAGTACTTACTCTCTCAGACACAGATTCAATATATGCCCACAGTATAAAAAACGCATCAGACATCTTTCAACATGTGCTCCAAAGACCAAAGGAGTAATTTACAAGCTCTGAGGATGTAGAAAGCTGACTAAGAGAAGTCAGTATTTATGAGCTGCACAGCCACCTTTCTATGTGAAATTGTTACAGTACCTAGGGGGAATATTTTTGCACCACCATTACTATATTTATACTTGGGGCAAAGATAACACAAGATGAAAACCGTGACTCTGAGTGGGATAGAATTCTCTGGATATGGGATTTCCTGGAAAGGGGAAGCAATAGGGGATTGCTGGTAAACAAAATAGGCCTCTTGGAAAGCATGTGGAGAGGGGAGAGTCCAGCAGCACTGAACTTGTGTTTCTCCTACCCCAGAGTCATGCCTCTTTTCATGGTGCAAGATTCTTGTCATGGCACTAATTTCAGAGGGAACTAACGTGCACAGTGTCCTGATAACTGACCTTACCCACTCAAGCTCTGCCCCTCCATGGTGGGGACAGAGTAGATAACCAACCTGTTCATCATGAAATTAGTGCTTCAGCTTATCATAGAATCATAGAATCTTAGGGGTTGGAAGGGACATCGAAAGATCATCTAGTCCAACCCCCCTGCCAGAGCAGGGTCACCCAGAGCACATCACACAGGAACATGTCCAGGGGGGTTTTGAATGTCTCCAGTGAAGGAGACTCCACAACCTCCCTGGGCAGCCTGTTCCAGTGCTCTGTCACTCTCACAGTAAAAATTTTTTTTGGATATTCACCTTGAACCTCCTATGCTCCAATTTGCACCCATTACCCCTTGTTCTATCACTGGCCATCACTGGTCATCACTGCTCATCACTGAGAATTATGGCTGAGGTACTGTGGTCAAGTGAATAGCTGTGGTAGCTGTCTGCACAGCTACTCTTAGATCACAGCATATGAAAAAGGATGAGAGTTATTTCAGCTGTCCTTTACCACAGACAAAGCAAGGTTGAACGACTTCACGTTTTTTACGGCTCACAACACATCTGTGTAAATTTAGCACAGCTCTGCTGATAAGCAACAATTTAATCATGGTTAACAGGCAGTGTATCTCACCTCTTAGGGTTTAATAAGAGTGACTTGGCACTAGCCCAGCCAGTCAGCAGACATGTTGCCGTGTCACACACATTATTGCGAATGAAAGCAGAGTGATAGGGCAGGACTTTGCCTGAGGGATTTACTCAGATGGCTGCACAGCTGCCTACTCTGCTTGCAAGTGTCATTAATTCTGCCAGCCCCCAGCATGCTTGAAAAAAAATGTCTAACTAGCAGGAGGAGCTGGCTATTCAAATGTAGTTAGTAAGTGTGCAGAAAGCCTCTCAGCACTTCAGAGTGACCGTAGGGTGACCTTGATGGCTTCTGAGAGGGGGCCTTTTAGCTGTCAACAGAAGGGGTGCAGGATGGGCAAGCTTTCCCTATCAGCCTCACAGACCAGGGTGCCTCATGCCCACCCTGGAAAGGTGGTCCCACGTGGGGGACTGGATTCCTAGAATCCATTCAGTGCCATATGTGGCCATGCTCTGCCAAGATGAAACCAAAATTCTGTCAAAAAGAAACCAGCTCTAGTGATGGCAAAGAAATCCCTATACCAACAACCAATCTTCAGCTGAAGAAGGATTTTGGTTCCCAATCTCTAGATTCTTAGATGCCAGAGGTACCTCCATCACTGTGCAGATGGGGAAGAAGGGCTCAGGAGAGCCAATTTCCTCCTTCACTGTAACTCTAATCTCACCCAAGAGTGGCCTTGGGCAGCTCTACATCCCTCTGTGCTTCTCACCACCGGTGATACAATATTTTCCTTTCTTCTGTTCTTCATCTATGTACTCAAACAAGATATTAAGCAACTCATGGCTGGATGACGGGACAATTTCTGACACATTTATGCAATGCCAAGTTCAATATGCACCCGATCTCTGTGGGAGCCCTTGAGCACAGACACATCCATCTATGTAGACACAACCACCCTATCACCTCTGAGTTTTTCTGAGATGCTCCAAATAGGAATATCTTTGAGTTTGTTCATTTTCCAGGGAGGACTGACTGACTCCAAGAAGCTTACTCTAACTGTGCCAAGGGCTACAAATCCGACTGCTTCTTCCCTGTGTGTGCTCTCAAATAAATGGATACTTGTTTGTTTTGTTTTTTCTTTCTGCAGTCCTGTATTCAAGCATGACCAACAAAGAGCAAACGTACGGTGGTAGTATGGTGGCCGGAAGGTGTTGTTAGCCACCCCCCATCGTGGAGGGAATATGACAAAATCAGCAAGTGCCACTCCAGGACGGGTTGACTTGGCTGTTAGGACAGTGAAGATAGAAGGATCCTGAAAAAAAACAACAACAAAGCATAAAGCATGAAACAGAGCAGGGCTCAGAGCCATCTGCTCAGCTCCTCCAGCTGGTAACCCTGACTGATGCAGCCTCTCCCTTACCTAAACACTTTTACCATCAGTACGTAGTGGTGTGGGTTAGATTTGTGACCCTATGTAACAACACCCAGCATCTTTATCCCATGCTGAACATGAGGGACAAGAGATGGGACTGGATGGTTTTTCCTCAGAGCAGCTTTGGAGAGCCTTCCCCTCCCTGACCGTAATGCCTTGGGATCCAGCAGTACAGATGCAGGGGAGGGACAGTCCTGCCACACAGAATACTGTAATTCCACGAGCAGTTTCCAGCACTTCTACCTTGAAACTGTACCTCTGCCTTAGCTGGTTACAGAGGACTGGAACATCCTACTGGAGGCATTTAGCCTCACAGCCCTGTTAGTTTACAAGCAGGGAGAACAAATTGCAGAAAAAATGTGGCTTGCTTTAAGGATTTTTGAAGTCTCTGGTCCAATGAAGTGATTTTCTGGGCTTTGATCCCAAAACCATCCTTCTCCTGGCAGGGTTTTATGGAGTTTAAACAATACTTTCTGTTGGTTGTCTCACTAGAAATGCTCCAGTCTCCTTGCACACCCACTTGCAGAAGCAGGACCAAGAGATGGCATCGCTGCAGGCATCTCTCCTACTGGGCTGGTTTCCTTTTCAGAAGAGCTGCTCACATTAGTTTTGGCTTCAGTTATTTTCCATAAGATCTAGAAATTATTGCAATGAAAGCTGCCAGCAGAGGAAGAAGTCTGTCCAATTGCAAGAAATAAATCTACGCAAGAATTTGAAGTGAAAGGCTTTTTGCTGAGTTGCACAGTGTGTGTTGGCTTCAGTATTCAGCCCTCTTCCAGACACAGAAATTCTATGCTAAGCTGCATAAAGCTGTTTAGGAAGCTAGTGATCAACCTCTAGTTATGTTTTCATACCACAAAGATGGTTGTCTTTCTCTGCAAGAGCTTGGTTTGGGCCCAGGGAAAACAGTGCAAGAGATCTTGCTCTGTTTCTTAGAGCACAGCAGACATTTTAGCAGGCGCTGAGCCCTGGGAGCTCAGGGTGGGGGTGGATGGCACAGTATCCATGCAGCGTTGCTTTGTCTTACCCTGCTCCAGTACTTACCGCATGGTCAAAAGCAACAGCATTAATGACCATGAATTTTTCCAGGTGGTATTTGTATGGCGTGTAGTTCCCGTGCCAGGCTACAACATTGAAGGGTGAGTAATCCTGCCAAAGCAGAGAGATGGATGGTTACCATGCACAGCCTTCCCACTTGCTGCACATATGCAGGGCGCTGCTCTTTCCCCGAATTAGAAATGGGGTTAGTGCTGGTGAGAAGTACACCACCAGCCTGGAGCATGAAGCCCTTTAGGCACAGCCTGACATTGTGAGGACACTGTTTTCCTCAGGGTTTCCACTTGGTGGGGCTCAGCCCTTCCACTGGAATTTGGTCTCTGAGGGCTGTTGAGTGCCCAGGCAGTGCTTGAACAAGGCCAGCTGCAACACTGGCCCTCTGGTAAGGAAACCCTGGCTTTTCACAGCAGCCCCAGCTCCTCTTTTCTGTTCTGTCACTATAAACATCTGGCAACCATGAGGCAAAGACCATTGTTGAGTCTTTGGTCATTCTAGTCTTCACATACCCTTTTTTCCAGACTGAGGACCCTCAGCTGGAAAGATGAATGACCCAACAAGGCAAAGGCTCAGTCCTGCTCCACTTGACCCAACAGGACAACGTGCATGCTACCAAGTCTCATATCCTGGGCCATGCTCTGGCAGTCACTGTGCTTCTGTGTGACCTGTTCTCCCAAGGCATCCTCACCTGCTGGGCTGCAAATAGCTTGCCCTGGTACTTGCTGATCACTGTGTAGCCCCCCGGCACTTGGCGGTCCTCGTACCACGCGACGGGCACCAAGAAGTCACGCGGGTTGGCCAGCCCATTGGCTCCTGGGGAAGACAGAGAGATGCCAGAGTGAGAGGCTGGCAACATTTCCTGGCTTCATGGGTACCCTTCTGCATTTTTAATTACCTTACTGCTTCTTGGCCCACCATGAAAACTGAAAGTCATGCACTTCTTGTGCTCCTGTGAGCAGGTAACTAACATACACTAGCATTTAAGTCTGTGCTCCCCTTCCATGACTAAAACATGTCTGCTCCAGCTTCCTTCTGAACAAGATTAGTATGTCATCCTCAATTAAAGGTGTGTAATGACTAGGAATTCAGAAAAAAAACAGAAGGTGAATTGCTCTCTGTTCCTGCACATCCTGCTTGCTGGATACTTAGCCATGCAGAAGTTAAGAGGCTTGTCATGAGGGGGTCAGATAAATTTCTGAATATTTGCAAAAAGAGTACTAAAATAAGGGCTGGTGATACCTATAGACTTTGGGCATACTAAGGGGTTGGTTAGCATAAGGAGTGCATTTTCAAACTGTAAAGCACCATATGGGCGCTGAAGCTTTCTTCTTCTCATAGTATTATTGTTACAAATGGTTCTGATTTTCTTGGATAAAAATGCAGGCATTACTACCTGCTGCTAAGGTTCAATAGTCAGTGCTTTTCCCCAGCTGTCAATTTTTTTCAAGTGAAAAGTGAAGTTAGAATAAAGTAAGACCAAAATACAAAGCATCTTGGTCTCTGAGGGGAAGGCAGGTAGGTGGTGAGAAGAGGAGCTCTTATAATTACCACCTCCTGAAATGGTTTACAGGCAAGTGCACTCATTTTCTTTTCTCCAGAAAGCAAATGTTATAATAGATTCCTGCCTTCTGGAGACTGAAAAAAAAACCCTTCTCCAAACTCAGTCCAACAGCATCTGAAAAACTAGCTAATGGAAAAACTTAATGCAAACAGGCTGGAGCAACAGTATCAATAATCAAGTGCAGCAGCACAAGAAGTGGGTGAAGGCAGGTCACTTCAGCTGGCTGAAAGGAAAGCTGCTGAAAAATCACTGTAGGCTAGACATGAAAAGAGATGGGCCCAGCATATCATATGGGAGAGATGCTCCAGTGGGATCCCATTAAATAGCAGCAAATCGGGTTGGTTCCCCACTGCAAGAATGACTAGCTCCAGTTTATCTGTGGCCACGAGGTGTGTGCAGAGGCCCACCGAATGCAGATGAACCACGCCAAGCTTGTTACTGATTGATAACATCTAGTTAGTTTACTTCAAACATGGCCAGTCTTTTAAATTGCACTGATAGCTAGTAGAACAAAAGCTGCACATGACCCACCAATGTGCAATTGCAGCCCAGAAGGCCAACCACATCAAACTACAGCAACCAAACCACATTGGCTGCATCAAAAGGAGTGTGGCCAGCGGGGCCAGGGAGGTGATTCTGCCTCTTTGGTCTGGTGAGACCTCACCTGGAGTGCTGTGTCCAGCTCTGGAGCCCCCAACACAAGAAAGATGTGGACCTGTTGGAGCATGTCCAGAGGAGGGCAACAAAAATGATCAGAGGGCTGGAGCACCTCTCTTACAAAGACAGGCTGAGGGAGTTGGGGTTGTTCAGCCTGGAGAATAGAAGACTCTGGGGGGACCTTACAGCTGCCTTCCAGTACCTGAAAGAAGCCTATAAGAAGGCTAGGGAAGACCTGTTCACAAGAGCATGTAATAATATGACAAGGGGTAATGGTTTCAACCTAGAGAAGGGTAGATTTAGGTTGAACATTAGGAAAATTTCTTTAATATCAGGGTGGTGGATCACTGGAACAAGTTGCTTAGAGAGTTGGTGGTGGGGTCCATTCCTGAAAACATTCAAGGTCAGGCTTGATGGGGCTCTGAGCAGTCTGTTCTAGTGTGAGATGTCCCTGCTTATAGTAGGGGTTTGGACTAGATGGCCTTTAGAGGCCCCTTCCAACTCAAGACATTCTATGATTCTGTGGTTCTATAAAACAAGGTCAGTCTAGTAAAGAGAAAAAACAATACAACCTACAATTGAAAACAATCAGCCTCAAAACACCAGTCTGAAAGTGAAGAACTATTGGTACTGAGTTTGTAGCTACTTTAGCTGTTACAATCTTGGTAGCAACAACTAGGAGGTGTTTTTCTCAGCAAGAAAAGTTTGGAAGCAAGTTCTCCGGGGATGATGCAGGTGAAATGAGCACCCCCAGAAAGCTGACTGGGAAATCACAGCAGGGCTTCAGATGCCACGCACCCTCACAATGTCTTTGTCATGGCAGCGAGAGGCTGTGCCTTCACAATCTGTGACATTGCACAGAGCAGGAGGCAGCTGGCAGAGAGGATCTGTGATTTATGAGAGCTCGACCTGTGCAGATCAGCCCTGGCAGCACAACATGGTGATACAAATGTGTTGCTGATCCAGGTCCTGTGCTGCTCATTTTATTGATTTCTGATACTCCAAGGGGAACAACTTCTGACACTAAGGCACTCTAGGCTCTAGAGCTAACAGGGGTGAGAGGAAAAAACCCACTTGATTTAATATAAAATGGGGCTGCAAGAATATCTGTTGTCTCTGAAATCTGCCTTTCCTTTTACAGGATAAGTTCTCTCCTATCACTCCAGTTTATGCCCGATCTGTAAGTGAGAAGGATCAGTTATGATGGCTTTTGAGTTTCTTTTTGTAGGAACAGGCTCAGAGGCAGCAGACAGGAACTCCCAAACCAGAAGGGGAAGAGAAAAAGTGGAAAAGAGGGTGGGAGAGAAGTTGTCCCTTCAATGTCAGGGGAATCCCAGGATGACTGGGCTGTCACATTTTTTTTTATGGGATGCTTGTTCTGCTGGAGAATAACAGTGCTGGGGTGGAAAGCATCTTTGTGAAAGAGCTTGTTCATGGAAGGATGTGTTACATAGGATATAAAAGGATGGATCTGGGCTTGTAATTCCTGTATGTCCCTATGAAACTCATGGTAGGTCTGGTGGGACATTGTTACCGATGGGCCCCAGGTCAGGCAGTTCAAAGTGTGCCCCATACACCTCCAGGATGTAGCCTCTGGTCTCTCCAAACACCTCCACGCTGAAACGCATTCCTTGCTGGAAAATAAAGGAAAATACTAGAATCTTCCCAGGACTCTGCTGACAAGTCACAAACAGCTGAATGCAGGAGCTGGCTTGCTCCAGTGTTGGGCTCTGAGCAGAGTCAGTACTTACCTGGATGACACAGATTTCATTTGGCTCCACTAGCATCTTCCCAAACTCAGTTGTGATGAGCAGTTTCCCTTGCTGGGGCACTGTGGAACAAAACGTGAGCAGAGGAGCTGAAGAAACATGGTGATTTCCACCTCTTCTGTCCCTATAGAGCACCCAGGCTCCAAGGAAGAGCAATGAGCCCTTTCTGACCCTGCTTCACAGTGGAACTAGGCTCCCTCTCCCATGCAGAGCCTTGCAACAGAGATGCCCACACTGAAGGGAGAGCTTCCAGACCAGCCCTGTGGCCCCCACTTCACAGCAGGTACCTGCATGAGATTAGGCCATCCATCACCTTGTGGTCCCTTAATGTAGGGTTTGTTCCACAGTCCAAACAAATGAGACTTGATATATTTGGGGCCATGCCTGTCTGTCTCATGATCTTCACATAAAATGGTGCAAGTACCCATCCTTTGCATGACTGTGGCAGTGTGAGTTGTCTGGGAATAACAAATTCTCCCTGCTTTCTGAGGGTAGAAGCAACACTCCACTAACACCTGAAATATTTTCCATGACTGTTGCGGTGCAAGAGAGCTCACATTTTTACTTTAAAAACTAGCAGATTTACAAAATCTGCCCTGACACTTTTACTTCACGGTAGTGAGAGAGGTGAGCAAGAACAATTTAATACCTATTTGATGGGAGAAATGTTTCAGTTGGTGACCCCAAGGCATTTCTGTCCCTCAGTCAAGAAAGATACAAGTACATACCAGGCTTCTGATACTGCCCAGAATATTTTTCAGCATGTGTGCGCATTATGTGCCAACCTCAGCACTCATCGTGGCTGCCTGGCTGCCTGAGGCTGGTGGAGCGTGGGAGCTAATCTGCCATGCCAAATACTCTTGGACTGAAGCAATGAAGGAACCTAGCTGTAAGCTGCTCAGAAATCCTGAGGCTTATGTTTTCCAGAAAACCTCCGCCTGTGGTGTGCCTAATAGTGATGTGGGGAGTGCTGGGAAACAATCCCTGATCATCAAGCTGAGGAAGTTGGGTCACTGCTCAAAAACAAAGTTGAGGTCTGGCACAGAACTGCATGGGAGCACTGCAACCCACTCAACAGCCCAGCTGGTGCCAGGCCACCAAATTTGAATGGTTTGAGGGTGAAGCCAAACCTTTTTCTCTAAATCTTGGCTGTAGGGACCAAGGCTCTGGAGGAACAAAGAGGCAGGCAGATGGCAACCCAGATAGACCCTTGCAGGGAAAAAAGCCAAAGCATCAACTCACCAATCAGGAAGTCACCATCTGAATTATAAAGGCATCTAAAGAAAAAGGAGAACAGGAAGGTCAAGGTGCTGTAAACCCCAGGCACTTGCACACACCATGACCACAGCTGGAGGTTTTTGGGCAGGGAGACTGACGTGGAACCAGAAATGCTTTTTGCAGGCCAGTGAATGAAATATACTGGCCAATATAGAGGAGGAAAGGAGGTTTAATGTGCCTGACCTGGAAGATCTCCTCCCACCTCTGCATTGTAAAGTGAGCAGCAGGGCTGACTTTGCCCACGGGCTGCTGCAGGGGGTGGAGATGCCCACCAGAGGTGGCATACGAGGAGCAGCTCCAATTCCTGGGATGACAGCACCCGTATCCAACACATCCCCTCTTGCTGCATCCCTATGCCCAGCTCCCTCCTTCTCTGGGTGTCTCCCCACCCACTCCCAGAGCGTTCAGCCAAGGAGCACAAGCTGCTTCCCAAACACCTGGTGGAGACACCATGAACACCTCCACCTGTGCACACAGGAGCACCCAGACATTGAGGCAGCTCTCCTGGGAGCAGCTGGACTCAAGTACACTGGTGAGAAGTGTACACCCTTGGGCAGCCAGCCCGGGACTGCCTGAGCCTCTGGCATAGCTGTCACTGACCTGTCCTGCATGGAAGTGTTGCAGACAAAAACGTGGACGGCGATGCCGTTGCGGCCTCTGGGCTCCCCAGCGCCACACAGGGTGTGCAGTCCCTAGGGGCAAACCCAGAGCACCAAGAGTGAGCAGCAGGCAGTGGGGCAGGGGACAGCCCCCTTCCCTCCCCTCATCCCACCTCCTTGCTGGGGATCACCCCCTCTCCCAGCTTCCCACACCACTGCCGGCCTTTCCACGTCTGGCCTTTTGCCCCAGCTTGTAATACATTAAGGGTTTCTGAAAGCTCCATGTAAGCTGGTGTTTTCCAGCCCAGGGGCTGGGGAGAGCTGAGAATTGAGGCTTCTTTTTTTTTTTTTTTTTTTTTATAAGAGCTCCTTGAAAGGCAATGAAGAAAATCAAATCCACTCTCAGTTGGTTGAAATCTGGGATCCCTTTCCCTCCCACGGATGCTCTGCGAGCTCAATGGTGTCAAACCCCCTGCTGCTGGCCCAGCGCTGAGCCTCCCGTGTGCCCTGCTACCCCTTGAGGGGGAGTGGAGATGGAGGGTGCCCTGTTCCCCGTCCACTTACGCTCACAAAGTCCAGCTTATTCTGAGAGACTTTCGGGATCTCGAAAGGTTTCCATCGCAGCTGGATTCCAGCACACAAAAAGCAAGGAAGCAACGCCAGTGGTTATAACACAAATGGTGCAAATCCAATGGAAAGTAGACCCCTGCTCCCACCCTGCTTCCCTGCCCTGTGCTAGCTGAGGTAGATTTCGCTTTAATTTGGTTTAAAGTTTTATTTTGATTTATGAAGCTTTTTTCTTTTGTAATGATAAATTTGTAAAATACTTGGCAGGCCTGCATAGTGCCAAGTTTAAAAAAATAATCATATTTAAAAGCTGTCTTCTCCACTATTACTAACAACACTGTTGAGAGCGAAGAAATTCAGATGAGCTGGCTTTTCACAACCAAATTGTCACAGTCCTGTGCTCCTGTCTCTCTGTGCTGGATGATTCAGTCCCTCCATGACCCCTGCATAACGCTGCTGTTGTCTCCACCTCATTTTCCCCACATCTGAAGCAGAAATATCTCTACCTGCATGAGTGGGAGCTGCAAGCAGCACTAATTACTTCTTGCAAAGCCCATTGAGATCCTCAGGCAAAAAGTGCCAGAGGAGTCCAAAGTATTTATTACCACTAATATTATATTAAAAGATCTTTGCAACTCTTGGGAACAAGGTGGTGTGGCTGAGACCCCCTCACTGTGGGTGCGTTCAGTGCAGATCAACCCAAACACTCAAGATTAGGAGGATGTTGACGTGGCCAGCTGTCAGATTGTCAGATATATGCCCTGCATCCATACACTTGACCCAAGTGAAAACACCTGTGACTCTGGGCATCCACAAGAACATTTTCTTGCTTTTGGCTACCTAACCTGGTGGTTCTTTACATGTTCTTAGGCTGGAGCCCTGAGGCTTCATTACAAAGCTTATGCAACTCTCTGTCTGTGCCTTCACCCAAACCATTCTGTGATTCCATGATCTGGGAAGAAGCATCAAAGGCACATAGATACAAGTCTGTCCCTCCTCCTTGGTTTGTGGCTGGGAAATATTTTCCATCAGAACTGGGAAAGTACTCAGACAAGTGGTGAGACTGCCAGGAGGCTGGAAAATAGCTAATGATGATGCATCACGGGGCAGTATCTGAGAGGAGATCTGATGACCATGAGATGATGTTGAGAGGAGACCGGCAGGAAGAGAGATTCAGATTAGCAAAGCCAAATGTTCTGGGGCTGGCAGAGAAGAAATCATAATTAGAGATGATGGCAAGGCCATAACAGAGGAAGACAAATGCCGTGTCTCTGTGTGACTCTCCAGAATGAAGCCTGATTTCCCTTGAGGGCTACAAAGAAGTGGATGGGCAGCCAGCAGCCTCTCTGAAAGCACAGGGAAGGAGGGGATGGATGGCAGAGACATGCAGCTGCTCTGCCCGCTGGGCGGGGGCATGATGAACCTTTGATGGGGGGCACTGAAGAGGCAGAGAGGGCAGCCTGAGAAGTCACCAACAGGAGCTGCCCAGGGAGATGCTGGATCACACATGTAACCGTCTGACACTGTGGCTGTGCTGGGAAGGAGTGCAAGCATCCATTGAGGTGGGAAGCAACAAGCATCACATCCAGGGCTGTCCTTCCCTGGATGACCCTCAGGTGAGGAACAACAGACCCAGATCCTGCCAGACCCCCAGCTCCCTACAGCTCTCCTCAGACCTTTTGCAGCTCAGTGCCTCTGCATCCCTGGTTAGCTTAATAACTGATTTTCCACCTGGCAAGACCAGGGCTCTTTCTAGAGTGGTTACCTGGTTGGGCTCAGGCTCAACTTCATCCCAGTTATGTGTCAGGTGGCCTTCCTTGAGAGGTTTGAATGGCTTGTGGCAGACAGAAGGTAGGATCCGATACAGCCAGCTACGAAGAAGGAAAAAACTTGGATTAACCTGGGGAAGAGGTTAAACTCTCTGGCTGACAGGTTGAGCTCCTAAAGGCATGAATAACATTTACATTGGTGGCAGCTGGAGCAAAATATATGTTAAAGATCAAACACCAGCTCACAGCCAGAGACTTCCAGAGAGATGTATTTTTATTACAGGCTCTAAGTACAAATACATGCTGGTATATGTGAGTAAATGTCTAGAAGAGTGTTTACATATAATTGCATATGTTTACACTCACATACACACATATGTATGTATATAAAAAATAAATATATGATTTAATCTGTGGCTGATATACAGCTGCCTCTGGGGTAGAAAAAAAACCCTATTTAAAACAGCTACAAACCATCTCAGACAGGACAGGGTTGGGCACCGTGTCCAGCTGGAAGTGCAGAGGAGCTTTCAGAAGACAGAAGGTCAAAGCCAGTATCCGAATTTGGATGGATTACTGAAAGTAGCATCCTACACCTGGCTGGCCATGCCCATAGGACCACCAGTGAGTCCATGCAGCAAAAGGACCGGAGTTTTATGTAAGGTTGATGCTTCCTGCTGCTGTAAGAGATCCTCAATGCCCCCATCACTCCCTGGGACCATCACTCTCCTCCCTTGCTGCCTCCTGTGTCCCATGGCTGCAGACCCTGCTGCTCCCCCCTCACCCATGGCCAGCATCTGCATGTCACACACAGGCACAGCCGAGCACAGAGTTGGGCTTTTAATCAGGCAGGAGAGCAGAGGTAATCAGGAAAGCCTGAGGTGGCAGGGCTGCCAAAGCCTTTGATGTGTTTAACAGCGGTGGTTGCAGTTTGGGTGGGTGGGAGAGGGGAGGAGGAAGCTCTCCCTTGAGAGCTGGAAAATTTCCATCAAGGACATCTTTGTGCAGCAAACAATGATTCATCCCTTCCCCACGCACACTGCGAGCTGGCACTGGCCTGGAGAGCAGAGCTCTGCTTGGCAGCTCAGATGATGCATTTGTCTTTCATTTGAATGAACAACAGAAGGGACAGAAAAGCCACCATGGGAGAAGTAAAATGAGAAACCCATCTTCTACAACCTGGTCAAGGCCAGAGCCTGATGGCCGAGACAGAGCTCCGGGTTGTTTGCTGCTGGCTGGGACAAGTGGTTCCCATTACTGCTGGGAACAGGGTGGTGAGCAGTGTGCTGGGTGCCTGACACTGATGTGAGCCCCTGGCCAGCCCCAGAATTGGTACAGCCTGAGCTAATCCCACACCAGTCCTGGCCAGTGTGCAGGAGCACCCCTGAGGAGGAGGAGAGTCCTGCTCAGAGGCTTCGTTTTGACACAGTCCATCAGGTGCCTGTTGCAGTGGTTTTGTGGTAGCATCAGGGCTGAGGTTGTTTCACACAGCACACACAACCCACTCAGGACCATCCAGCCCCCTCAAACATCCCCTTCCATTCCTCACCTCATTCAGAAAATCACTTTATTTCCCATCCCAACACTCCCTTTCCTCAGCATTTTTGTAGCCCGATAGCCCCACTGAAGCATTTTCTCTCACTCTCCCACGGTTTTCTACCCTTGCCCCTCTCCCAGCTCACAGAAGATGTTTTCCACATGTCTGGGCTGGCAGAAGGCCCGGGTGGCACAGAGGCAGCACATCCATGGCTCCCCAGTGCTGGCCTCAAGAGCCCCACATGTCCCTCCCAGTGCCAGGGGTCACAGTCACGGTACCTTCTCTTGTTGGTGGGCCGGGGGCAGGTGAAGGCAGAGCCCGAGAGTTGTTCAGCATACAGGCCATATGGGCAGACTTGGGGGTTATTCTGCATGTGAGGAGAAGGAAAAATAAAGAGTGAGAAGCAGTGGCACAAGGTTTAGCTCAGCAGCCCCTGGCAGAGCACTGTGACGGGCATCCTGCACCCCAGTGCTGTGGGGTGAGCTGTGCTCCTTAGTCTGTGCATCAGCAGCAGTATCAAGGAGATATGCTCCTATGAGGCTGGGTGCCCCAGCCAGACCCCAAATGCCATTCCCACATGCCAGAGGCCACACTAGTGCCTTAAGGAGTATCACAGCCACAACACACCTACTGCTAGAGCAAGCTTCAAGGGGCAGTGCTTGAGTTGGGTCAGCAGCAGGAGCAGCAGGGAAAAGGGGGTTATTCCCCATGCTTACAGACTGAAAAGCAGACTGTTAATATGCACAATCATTTTTGAGACCAAGTGTTCACAGGGATTGCCCCAGAGCATCACATCTGTCTGTCTTTCCATGGGGCTGATAAAGACTCGCAGCGGCTGCACCTTTGCTTCTTCCCTTCTATGCACTAAATGTTCCCCTCTCTCCTCCTGCCCTCTGCCCAGGGCAGGGTGCCCAGGGCAGGAATTTTGGTGGCATGCTGCTTCCTTCTGCCAGTGCTGTTTGCTGCCCAAGAGGAGGAGTGACATGTGTGGGAGCCTTGGCTTTTCCACAGGGCTTCTGCACAATGACAGTCTTCCTTTGGAGTACAAAGCAGGTGCTTTGCCCTTTGTGGATCCACGAGTATGGCCAGTGCAGTTTTAGCAACCCTGGTGAATTCATCTCTGAAGGACTGATTTCCGCTCTTCAGAGAACAGAAACTAAACAGTTTGATCTAAGTAGGCCAGCATCTATTTGTTTGACATCAGCAAGAACAGAGGCATCCAAGAACTGCGGGGAATACCCCGGTGGGACAGTCATACACCATTTGCTATCCCATCTCCCTCCTGCAAGGTCTAGTTTAGCATTCTGCCACCTGGCTGCAGCTGAGTGGATCAGTCATCCGTCCATACAGTATGAAACACTGCCCTGACAGGTGGGCAGCAGGATGAGGTAAAGCTCTCATAACACACATAGCTTCCAGCCCTCACACTCCATCTTGTCAGTAAGAGTATGCAGTGAAGCAGGGGGATCAATAGCCCTTGTCATTTTTACCTTAGCCAGCACTACTGCAGATGCCAGTCTTCTAAATACTGCAGAGGAGAACGAATCCACCCTCGGGACTGGAGATTTTTTTTGGGTCTTACTCATTTTCCAGTTTTTTATTAACTCTTTGGACACTGAGTCCAAACTCTGTCCAGGTGAGAGTACCTCACCTAGGAGCTGGAATTGCCTTTCTCCTTGAAAAAACAGTGCTGCTCTGGAAAATGGTGAGCAGCACATCCACCACAGCCTGTTCAGACCAGGTAGCCACTTCTGCCCCGCTCCCCATCTTAAGGAGCCTCTTTCTTACATTTTTTCTCCACCCAGTTGCTTTAACCAGCTTCAGAAACAAAGACACTGCAACAGCTGAGCCGTCAGTCTCACCCAGCACAGTGGTGTGTCTTCCCTGTGGGCACACCATAGGCTGCAATACAGACCTAGAGGACATATATATGTGCATTTAGCACGTCCTTGTGTTGTGCATTACTATCCATACTGGCACACGTGTAAAACACCAGAACTGGGAAGTTCCAGAAACCTGTTGGCCTCCTTGCACAGAGGATGAAGAGGAACACCATCAAGTTATGTCCTCTGTGATGTGGCTGACTGAGCATGAGATGCTGCCACCCAAGCCCAAGGAGATCCAGAAGATCCAAGGGAGGGCACAGGCAGCCTGAAAATGTGTGTTTGTGTGAAAGAGTCCAGCACAAAGTTGATGAGAGGACTTTCATTCTTCAGGGTTTTGTTCTGGCCTCTGCAGAGCAAGTGGCTGGCATCACAAGGGTTGTGATTCCTTTACTTAAAACAGAATGAGTCAACATAATTTATTTTCATCAAATGTGTTCAGAAGTTACTTTTAAGAATTAACCTGTCAGTTTATTACTACAGGCATTTATGTCCCTTCTCTACAAAGAAGCTGCTCTCCTGCCAAAAGATTATAAGCCAGCTCCATGGAACACAAATCCTACAGAGATTCTGAAAGCCACCTCTCCTGTGTAAGAATGTCTCTCTGCCAGGCTTCAGACTTCTGCTCCAGTTCATTCCAGAGCCAATGGCTTCCTTCTTTGTGTGGCTGAGCCACTTATATTGCAGGCTCCTTTTTTTTTTTAAAAAAAACCAACTCTGCTGTTCAGCAGAGGTAATTTAGGCAAGTCTTAACCCCTAAGGTGAAACCTGGAAACCCATGAGTAACTTAAACATAGAAAGTATGAATGGCAATTTTTAATTCTGATTTTTGCCAGCATCTTATTATTCCAGTCTTGCAATAAAGAAGATTCCTGGAGACTTTTGTGGTGGCAGACAGAAAGGAAAAACGTTAAGATTAAAAGAAGCCTCGGGAACAGATACTCACTCTATTCCATGTAATTTTAATAAAGCACTTTAAAATAACTCAGTACCTGTCCCTCCGGTAAAGCTCCCGGACAGCGTGGATCCTCAGAAACGTGTTCATTTCCAAATCCCGACATGTACTGTAAAATAACCCATACAGCTCATCAGCATTTTGAAAACACAGGCAAAACCTCTCCAAACAACCCATCCATCGTTTTCCCATACTTTTTCCAAGCTCTTTGGATGCATAAGCCTTTCTTAAGTCTCAAGTACTGCCACAGACCATTTTCACAGCTCCTGGGTTCACTTCATTTGCTAACCATATGGTGGACTGGGAAGCACAGGCAGGATTTGCTCTTCTCCTAAATCTGCATGTCTATTTTGACCACATTCTGAACCACAAAGGCACTTCACTACAGTGCCATACTATACAAAAATACCACTTACACACACTCAAAAACCACCTGGTGTTGCACAGGAAGAACTGCACACCAACATTATGGAGGCATGGTAGCAGCATCATAGAATGGCTAGAGTTGGAAGGGACCATAAAGATTCATCTAGATCCAACCCGTCTTCATTAGTAGGGACACCTCAAACTAGATCATGTTGCTCAGAGCCCCATCCAACTTGCTCTTGAACACTTCCAAGGATGGGGCTTCCACAAGTTCCCCTGGCAACATATTGCAGTGTCTCTGACTTCACTTGAAACACGGATGTCCCAAAATTCACAGGCTGCCTTGCAAATTCATGCACTGAATGCTCAGGGATTGAAACTGGGAGCTGTGCAGGTGTTGGGTTCTTCTGAAACATCTCCACGATCATCAATGAAAAGGTCTGTATGTAACTAGGATGAGGGAGGAAGGGAAACTCAGCTGGGACTGTAACTATGTCACTGATTTGCCCAGAGTAAGTATTGCCCAGTTGTGCATGAATGTCCCACCATAGCAGTCAGCAAGAATTAGTCCATTACTAGGTGTTAATCTGTTTTATGAGGGTGATGTAGATCCATGGATGGAACAGTCCTTTTGCCCTGCCTACAGCTGCTGTGGTCTGAGCATGGCTACAAGCCCCAGGAGCCCGGCAGATGTGGCTCCCAGCTTTGCAGTACTGGGAAAAGCCTCCTGAGTAAACCTGCGACACACAAGGGAAGCAGGTACAACAGAGACCTTAGCTTTGCACTGCCAGAAATATAAACACAGTCCCTCCAGATTCTATAGAAAGGCATGAAGCAACTCTGTTGAACTCCGCATGAATGCAGAGGCATTTTTGGCAGCAATCAATGGCTCAGCTCCCTGGCCTGGGGGGGAGAGTTAAATATTAATGCTCCCCTCTATCAGCTGCAAGAGTAGCCCAGCTACTTGCCTTCACACGGTGGTGCTGGGATGGCAGGGCATGGAGGTCCCAGCGCTTGGCTGCTGTGGGGTGGCCTGAGAAAGCCTGGCTGGCAGAAGGTACCTCCCTTGGAGCCTGGGAGGCAGAGCTCTGACATGAAGGTGGGGGAGCAAATCCCCTGTACCTTGTTTGTTACATTATTATCGTGCCTGGATTATCTCCCCCAGGGGTTCTCAGCCTGGTGCAATCTGCAGCCCGCCTGAAATATTCCACCGTAGAAGACACTCAGACAGCAAAGCTGAAACCTCCTGACAGACTGTGCTTTCCTCTGGCACCTTTCAGCGACCTGTAAAAGTCCGTTCCCAGGGGAGCCAGGCTGGCTGGAAGCCGTGATTAGCCTGAACCTGAAAGCAGCTCAGCTTCTGTTGGCGCAGGGAAGATGTTTCTCTCCTTCTTACAAATGAAGGTACATCACTAGGGCTCTGCTCTCCACTAGGTTCTGCAAGAAGCATATTGATATGCAAAGCAGTAGGTCACCTAAGCAGCCTTGGCAAATGTACCTGATTTTTTTTTATTTTTTTTTTCCCCCCTCTCATCTCTTTTAAACAGAAATGCAGCAGTATCTGATGGGACTGCAGCAGTTCCAAAATTAACCAAGACCTCCACACTGCATCCTCCTCTACCAGCATTGTAGAGGTGGACAGAGAGTTTGCCTGTGGAGCAACCTTGATAAACAGGGGAGGAAAAGGGGAAGAGGAAGAGGAGAGGAGCATGCTCATTTCCTAGAGGCATAGCCAGCAAGGACTGCCAGCAGGCTCTGCCACTAGCACAGCAAGAAGAGGATTAATTACCTGTAAAATGCTCAAGTGAACTGGTGGAGAGCTGGGAGGGGATGGTTTGTGGTTCTTGGGTGGCAACCAGCATGTGTTGCCTGGCACCAACCTGCCACAGTGCTGGGGCAAGGGGGAAGGAGGCACAGAGGGCTTCCTTCAAAAAATCCATCCCCCATCCTTCAGATTATAAATAAGTGAGCTGCCCAGCTGACCTGCCCATCCACATTCCCAAAAGCTCTTTGCTCCAGCTTGCTGGGACGAGGGAAGGAAAGAAAACAAACTCAGTGGCAAGCACCTCACGCCCACACTGGTGCTGCACAGCACCTCACCAGCCCCAAATAGGATGGAAACCAGCTGCCTTCCCTGGCAGGGCTGCAGAGCTGGGGGCTGCAGGGCTGCTGGTCATTGCCCAGCAAGGCAGGAGGCTTGGTCGTCTGGGGCAGGAGAAGAGGTGACATCTGGGAGAGGGTGGCATTTTCTCACTGCCGTGAGAGCAGGGACAGAAGCTGCTGCATCATTGTTTGGTCAAATCTATTCTTCCTTGTCAAGGAAAGAAAAAAAAAAAATTAATCCTCAGATAACTGCATTGAGGGCTGGAAAAAAAAAAAAAAAAAAGACATTGGCAGGACAGCAGCTGCAGGAGGGGAGACAACATCCTGTAGGTGATTTATCACCCCAAGTGTGGCTCAAAGGCTTTGCCTGGATGTTCAGTGTGGCTTTTCTCATTCACTCATTTTGCCTTTCCCTGTGGCAGACCTCAGAGAGGCTTCTCTCCTTTACATGCCCTTAGGGGCCAGCATCAAACACCACTCGGGCTGCCAAAAATAGCTGTGCAACACCGGCTCCCCACGTGTTTGGGCTCCTGGACATGGACCCTGCTGGTGCCTTTGGTCAGTGGTGCAAGAGCCATGCACAGCATGGCCCTCCTCCCTGCCAACCCTCTGAGCACACCTCCCACCTCTCAGTCTGCGTCACACAGGGTGGCCCTGAGTCAGGAGAAATGACCCCTTTCTGCCCACCCAGCACCCACATCAGAGCATCCTTCTTGGGTGAAAAATTCTGGACAGTTGGAAACCAACCCTTCCTCTCCATGGCACGGCAAACTCCCTCTAGGTCCATGCCTGCTCTCCATGGTTCCTAACCACTTCGTGAGTAGCTCCAGTCAAGCAGTTTGATGGGAACTATTTTGGTAATAGGGCAGGTGGTTTCTCTGTAAAACAGAAAGTTCTCTGTGGCCTTTTGTTTTCTTTCCTGCCTTTAATTACTGTTGTCATTATTTTGTTTGAGATCCTGTAGCTTTTTATGCAAACGGGATATTAAGAATCCACCTGACTCCACTTTGGTTTTTGTTTTCTTGTTTTTTCCCATAAAATGGGAGAGATAAAAGCCCAGCACCGCATAAAAAATTCAGCAAAGCTCATTGATTGGAATAACTTGGATGCAAAGCAGATTGCTCGCAATGGGTGTTGTGCTCTGACCTATAAACCATAACCTTTTGTTCATGGGATTAGACAGCAGGCATGGGAGAAACACATTTGAAGTCTGAACACACAGCCTGCAAAATAACTAAGGCCCCTCTTCAAACGCTGCATAATACATTTCTCTATCAGCTCCTGCTGCAGGACATAGGAAAACAACATCCATTGCTACACAAAAGGCATGGCCCTTTGTGTCAGCTGAGACCTGTCAGCACCTGAGTGTCTAACACAAACCCACAGGATCAGGGACAAAGCCTTTGGGGCAAAGAGCAGGGCAGAATTCCACCCCCCTCACCCCTGCACAGGGCTCCACAGCTTCCTGGTGGGGTAAAACCAAAGCACCCAAATGTGAGGTCTGCCCTGGGTGCCACAGAGCCCCCATCCACATTCCCAGCAGGAGCTGCCATCTCCCCAGTGTCTTGTCAACCCTCTGCTCCAAAAGTGCCAGGGACAGTTCAGGGCCAGACCCTTCCTGAAAAGACCTGCCCAGCTCTAAGGTGGGTCAGGGCACTTGGTGGAAGAGGGAAGAGAGGGACAGGTGCTGGGAGGAGCGGAGCAGAGGGGTGAAGCAACACTTTTGGAGGAAAGATGCCAAGAGGAGGTGGGGTGGGGAGGGGTGATGTTGGGCTATGAGTGTATATGAGATCTCAGAGAGGAGGTGCTGGCAGAGCAGCCTGTTCCCATGGCCAGCTCTGGGCAGACCTGCGTGCCCAGAGTTTGCACAACCTGCAGCCACAGTCACACCAGACAAGGTGCTAGAGTCTGCCAGGAATGAGTCAGAGACAGAGGCAGAAGGTGCTTCCAGACCACCCATCCAGAGTGGTCCAAAGGCTGGGCTGACCTGCTGCTGAAGGCAGATGGTGGAAGTTTTACTGTATGAGGAGACGGGAGACAGCACAGGAGAAGACCTTTAAAACCATTATGTAAAATAATGAACATCGCGTAAGGAGGTGAAGAAGCACACGCATGTGTATCTCAGGCATATCCAGAGCTAGAAAAAGTCTTGGTAACAACGACAGCCCTGAAGCCTGGAAAGAAACACAGTGGACCTGCACAAGCTCTTGAGACCCACCACAGTTGTAGGATGAGCCCTGGCTGCTCCTGCCTGCTGCAGTGCTACTGTCACACCCTGATAACCACGAGGCAGACGGTCCCCCCACAACAGCAAGGTGCTGATGAGATTCAGGGTCATGATCCTCATGTTCCTACACATGAGCCATAAACCCACCACATCCTGCCCTTTTCCCCAAACTCCTGTGTGCTCTGGCAAACGGGGGTGGGAAAGCTCAGAGAGCAGGACACAGTCAGGGCCCTGCCGTGCCCTGCAAGGGGTACTGAGAAAATGCCCCAGGATGGACTCACTGCTTGTCTGGGCTGCCAGGGAAGTTGGCAGTCAGCGTTGCAACATCTGAGTAGATGCTACCAGCCAGATTTCATAGGCTGAGCAGGAAACACCTGCCTGGAAGCCAGGGCAGGAGGAGGGGTGTGTGCAGAGGGCAGGGGACGGACAAATCCCGAGATGAAGATGTCCTGTGCTGGGACAGCCTGATGAAGAATGATTTCCAAAGGAGGAGAAGAAGGGAAGAAAAGCCGACTTATAGATGAAACACAGCAAACTCCTTTATCCCAAGAGAGCTCTAAAACACACCCTGAAGTACGAAAGAGAGGCGCATTGAAGTGAAACAGACACCAAAAATGTGGTGTTAGCAGAGGAAGGGTGTCCACAGTCAGCACTGGTGGGTCTCAGGTTCCCGACCCCTTACCTGCAAGCTCGTCATCCTCCTCCTGTTCCTCCTTCTCTTGGAGCAGACACAAATCCCAAGCAGGTATCTGGCCCGAGCAGCCGGCCAAGGGAAGCCTGTGAGCTGGTCAACCGAGCCGGGCTGGTGGCAGCCTGGCAGTGCTGGGAGAGAGAAAGTCCAAGGGAGATTTCAACCTGTTTGCTCAGCCCAGTCTGTGTTTAACCAAATGACAGCCCTTCTCCACAGAGCCACCCCGGGATCGATCTGAAGATAAAAAACGGGGGCTGAGGGGACAGGCTCCCTCAGTGCTTCTTTTCTTCCTGAAATTTTAAAAAAGAAGTGGGAGTTCC